GCGAATTAGAACGGCTATTCGGGATCACAGAGAAAATCGTGTTCAATCAATGTTTAACATATCAGGAAAAGGCGATATATAGTGAGTCGTGAACGTAGACGCAATTATTGACAAACCCAACAATTTGTGAGAATGACGGTCGAGGAAAAGATTCGAATAGAACTGAAGATTGTGTCAGGCCCAAATTTACAGGTGATGACGAGCCATCCAGGTGTGGATACCAAATAGTGAAGTTCTGTTGATCAGACGAAAAAGCAGTAAGTTTGGAACACACTGAACACAAATACCTGCTTGAAAAACGATAAATCTATGTTATACGTTGTCCGCAGTTCCCTTAGTGATGTCAAGGCAATAACTGATAATTACCCTTTGTCAATTAAGTTTTGCATCCTCACTGACTATTAATTTATTAGGGTGGGAAGAAAGTTCTAGGGTACTTTTAAAAAATGGAAAATTTATGCATGAATTCCAAACAAAAGCTATAATAACTATTCCCCAAGATAAACGCCATCGTTTTATACGACTTTCTGCCATCAATCCGCTAAGTTTCGGATCTGGTCGAAGTACCATTCCGACCAGACGATCCACCCTTCAAAGCAGCCATAAAATCTTCGTTGCTCAATTTTCTTGAACAGCCTAAACGAGGCTTGCCTTCGAGGTCAAGATCCCCGACATTAAAGCATTGAAACCAGCGTTCAGCATCAGATTTGCTAGTTATGGTTTCCCGAAAATAAAGACGAATGATATCTAGGCCTTCAGTGGGAAAATCCCACATAAGAAACTGCAATATTCTTATGATTTGCATGGGTTTGATCTCATCCTTGATAAAGTGCCCCAGAACTTTCTTCCCAACAATAATATTTCTGGGGCGCCGTGGCCGAGTGGCAGTGATGCTTTTCGTGGAGCGCGTGAAGCGAAACCCCAAATTTCAACACTCTGCGGCAGCCAACAGCGAACACCCTACGTAAGCTACAGCCAGATATCTACTAGTTTGCAAGGAGACGTGCTCAACCAGTATTCAAAGAGGTTCAAGAAGGAGACGAAAAAACCGTTTAATGTTAGAAGTACTTGGAACCGCACAATGGAAAAAGCGCTGTGAAGGCGAAGATAAAATGCATTTATTTCTAGTAAAAAATACCGTTTTACTCGAAATCAATGAATCCAATCTGCACCACTCCACACGTATCATAGATTATTTCTGCTGAACTTTTAGACACGATAGAATGGTTTAATTATTCTTGGCATCGACAAGCACTTACTAGACTTTCCTCAGGATATTTTCGATTTCTAATGCCGTACCTGTAAAACTCGCATCTCGAATCATTTTCTATATACGACCCATCACCACAGATTACTGTGCCAAGCACTTCTTGCATTTTACCCATTTCCTCACATGCATCCTTCACAAATGCCTTTGAACACTTCTTGTGCTGTACCGACTACTGCTAAGAAATTCGTCATCTTCATGAAAGCTGATGGAGTCCAATCTCCTTGCAGTTTTGAAAAGTCAGGCTATGGTGTTACCTAAGGCATTCATTTACTAACCGTAAAAGAGTGTTGGGCGATGTATTCGAATCAACGGCTTTGTTTATCACCTTGCTTTTTGATACACCGCATCACTAACCTCTGTGCTACCCTATTCTCATGTCAGATCATACTAAACTTTATTAAAATACTTGAGAACACCACAGATCATAAATAGCTCCTGCTGTGGTGATTTCCATTAGCTTCCCGACAAAATTTATACTGTTATGATTTCGGCAAGTACATGTTCAAGTCAAATGTTTCACTTCTTCTGAAGAAAAACGCAATCGTAACTTTTCTTGATGTAGATTCAGTTCTCGGAAAATGCTACTATTTCACTGTTGTTATAATTTGCTCAAAACATCATCGGATATCTTATAAGATCCATTGCTGGCGAAGTGGCGCAGTGCTTCAAAAGTGAGGTCGTTTTGATTGTTTCAAATAACAGATGAACAGATTCTAGACCTTTGCTTCTTCTTTTCTTCAATTTATACGCCGTGAGGACATTGTTCCACTGCTGTCTCGCGATTCGGCCAGTTCTATTATTGAGCATAAGTTCATATCAATCGTCGTCTTTAAATGATTACTGTCGATAGTGAATACTCATCTGAATCCTCCACGTCTTCAACATTTGTCCCTAAGATGAACCCATAGCTGCACCGCATGGTTGTTGGCATTTCTCTAGCAAAATACAGAGTTGACATAGAGGGTGTTTTACAGTAACAAGAGCTGTGTTAAAGTTTTGGCCAACATTTCACTTGTACCACGCGTAATCCTGTTGATAGTCAGGTCATTAAAGCGAACACTACTTAAATCCTCACTCCTCCGTGTTCTGCTGTAGTAAGCAGTATACTTCTCTTATACAGGGACACATCGACCACACAACGGATGTCTTGTATGAGTTTTTAACATTTACAATTACTGCCGTCAGGGTAAGTGCACATAGTGCCGGATACTATAGTGGCTGAGATTTACTCCTAGCCATACATGTGCATCGAAATTCTGAAATCCCTATACTTTTCCATATTCTGGGTACTTATCCCTGTCGTGCATCACATTTTGACATCCAAAAACAACACACATCAGTGCTATGATTTGATGATGAGGTTACACAAAGTTGCTATGAATTTCTGTGAGGGTTAACGTTTCGACGGGTTTGCCTTCTTTAGAGCCACGGTGATTCAGAAGTCCAACGTTCAAATCAGTTGCATCTTACGATTTGGTTGTTCGGGAGGTGCGCACGAATGATGTAGAGCCCTCAAACAGCATTGCCCTTTATCCCCTTCGTCAAAACCAGTAGTCCAGACCTCTTTCGCATTGATGTGATGTGACCTCGTCTTCTAGTTCCGCAAATATAGAGCGCTCCTGGTCGATTCCCAGGCGAGACTGATTGTTTCCTCGGTGACAGCCCATCTTGTAGTCGTCGGATAGCATCAGTCGAGATGTAGCTATGCAAACTTCAAAATTTAACTTTTGTGAAGTCAGCGACGAACAATAAATGCTCTAATGCTGATAACCTCACAAGAGGTTACTAAAATTTTCATTTCAGCTATCATCTAAACAGTTTCCGTTTTTTCAATGCTGCGACGAGTTTCGACATCAATTACTTCTATTGTTGTCCCTATTTGATCGTCATTACGTTGATTCAGTGAAACAGCAAAGAGGTTAGTCATAGTAAGGATTTGTACAACTTCGTGCAAGATTATGAGTAAACCAGAATGCTGATTTTTCACGACAAAGTACAGAGCAAGTGGGAACGGAAAGTTCAATACCAAGAGCGACGGATATTGGTGTGCAATCGACGATAACGTGGGGAAAAACTTTCAGTGTTTGTTAAAAAACGTAAACAAGTCCACAGGAATATTTTGTTTTACCGACCTTATAGCAATACTATGATGTTTTAATATATATTCGAAGATGCTGAGTGACATGCAAAACATTCGACCACAATTGAGAGTTGAACCCGCGTCTCACCCATAGCGGGGCCCGTGCTATATTGAAGGAAGGAGTGACGGCAGAGCAGTGGCCTCAAAAGTATGAATGAATCCTATTTGATTCCTTTTACAAAAATCCAAGTTTCACAGTCATGTATAGTAGAGTAGGTGTAACTCAAGAATAGAAACCTCATAATTCCAACAAAATCCATACAACACTTTGCCATAAGCAATTTTAAGTGATAAAGCGCAAAACACAATGTTGCTGACGAAACATTCGATTAAGATAAATTCAGAAGAAGATTCAAGTCAATACAGAAGATACTTTTGAGTATCACGGTGAAAAACGAGCATAGTTTTGATAAATAATAAGCATGAAGTGAACAAGCAGTTCCTCCTCAAAGCGCACTAACGAGGAAATCAATAACGGAGCGAGCTGGTGAACATCCAGAAAAGACAAATACTGGAAACTAAAATATGCGACAAACTCAAGAGGACGTCTCAAAACAAGTAGTTGTGTTAGGTGAACGTCCATAGGAGTTTCGAGGGGCGACTATATGATAGTGAAGAAATTATATGAGATTTGAGAAGCCTACAAGGAGAAGTGGAGAAGGAGAACTGCAAGTGAATTGATTGACAGTTGGTACAATGACGATACGATCAAATGCTAGATACTATTCTCGCCCTAGTAATCGAATATTTCACATTTCCTTAATAATATAGAAAGACAGTGCATAAACGCAGCACAGAAATGAGAAAAGGATACTTTTACAGAGCTAAAAGTCACGTGATCAACGATTTTTGCTACAATATCGCTTCATATTTTTCAAACGACCTGCTATCACAGTTTGCTGTGCGGCAGATCACAGCTTTTCTTGCATTAGTTTCGCTTCCTCGACATTTCGTCCACTACAAGGGTCTTCGAATACTTCACGTGTTTCTCGGCTGCTGCTTGAGGAGTTTGCAGTCATTAGCAATCTCGTAGAATGCTGTTGGAACGGATGCTCCTTGCAATCTTAGGAGTAAAAGAGCTAAGTCATTAACTGAAGCGTTCATTTATCAATCAGTAACTAATACATGGAGTCATTGCCACAAGAGCTTTGTGGAGGAGATGGATCCAAGAATTTATCTTTCATCATGCTTCTTGATACACCGCATTACAATCCATTGCGCTACCTTCTGCTACCTCGTAAGATTATTAATGATAATTTATGATCACGAAATATATTTGTTCACTTTAGATAGATTCGCATATTTCTCAATATTTTGTGCGAAGCGCCAGATCTCCATATTGCTCAATATCCGGTGTGAACTACAAAGTACGATTTGCGCCACCACTCATTCTTCAAAATCTCTTTGTTAGCTATCAGCCACCAATCTCTAACGCGTTTGGTAAGGTATGCAATTTCGCTTTATAAACCCAGTTGAGCTGACAGCTCTACTAATAACTAATATTCGAGAGTTCTAGTATTTTTATCGCATTTTTCGTAGTGTTATAATCTTTATACATTCCTAACAGAACTGAGTGGTGATCAAAAACACGGCCGCAGGCGGGAATCGAACCCGCGTTTGATTCTATCCGAGGAAGCGCGCTCTACCACTAAACCTTTCTATTGAGTCAGAGTCGCTTACCAGTGTATCAAGTCAGTGGGGCGATCCTCTCAATGTAGCGGTAGAACACGTGTTAACAGATAGGATGAAACGCGCGTTCGATTCCCACATGAGGCCGTGTTTTTGATCACCACTCAATTCTGTTAAGAATATATAAAAAATTAAACACTGTGCAGAGTACGGTAAAAATACCAAACCTTTTCAATACAAAGCACGAAATTTTTTTGACATAGAATTTCATCTAACGACCATTTCTGCGTCAAATCTTTAATATATTTTTCACTGGTAGGCATATTTATATTACTATATTTAAGTCCACTTTATCCACCATCCACTAGTTCGTTGTCTTTTCCTTTTGTTTTCCACATCAACACATTTCTTTTGTCAACGATCACCCAAACACATTGTCAGACATTTTACGGTGGTTCACGAAGCATTCGAAGATACTTTGCCGTTCTCATACGTTACTCGATAGTCGCTCATCCCGTAATCATTATTGTAGGTTGGCGAAATGTTGGAGATTTACAGGATGAGCATTTAAGCAATTTTCCATTTGATGGGCAGTTCTCACAAAATTCGCAAAACTTGTATTCAGGAGTATTTGATAAGTCGAAAACATTCGATTTCAAAGTTGTCAGACTTTACGGCCGTTCACGAAGCATTCGAAGATACTTTGCCGTTTTCATACGATACTCGATAGTCTCTCATTCCGTAATCATTATTGCCAGTTGGCGAAATGTTGGAGATTTACAGGATGAGCATTGAAGCGATGTTTCCATTTGATACACAGTTCTCACAAAATTCGCAAAACTTGTAACCAGGATTTGGATAATTCGTAAACATTGGATTCCCAAGTTGTCAGACTTTTACGGTCGTTCATGAAGCATTCGAAGATAGTTTGCCGTTCTCATACGTTACTCGATAGTCGCTCATCACGTAATCATTATTGTCGGCTGGCGAAATGTTGGAGATTTACTGGATGAGCATATAAGCGATGTTTCCATTTGATACACAGTTCTCACAAAATTCGCAAAACTTGTAACCAGGAATTTGAAAAGTCGAAAACATTGGATTCCAAAGTTGTCAGACTTTTACGGTCGTTCATGAAGCATTCGAAGATAGTTTGCCGTTCTCATACGTTACTCGATAGTCTCTCATCACGTAATCATTATTGTCGGCTGGCGAAATGTTGGAGATTTACAGGATGAGCATATGAAGCGATGTTTCCATTTGATACACAGTTCTCACAAAATTCGCAGAACTTGTAACCAGGAATTTGAAAAGTCGAAAACATTGGATTCCCAAGTTGTCAGACTTTTACGGTCGTTCATGAAGCATTCGAAGATAGTTTGCCGTTCTCATACGTTACTCGATAGTCTCTCATCACGTAATCATTATTGCCAGCTGGCGAAATGTTGGAGATTTACAGGATGAGCATTGAAGCGATGTTTCCACTTGATACACAGTTCTCACAAAATTCGCAAAACTTGTAACCAGGAATTTGAAAAGTCGAAAACATTGGATTCCAAAGTTGTCAGACTTTTACGGTCGTTCATGAAGCATTCGAAGATAGTTTGCCGTTCTCATACGTTACTCGATAGTCGCTCATCACGTAATCATTATTGTCGGCTGGCGAAATGTTGGAGATTTACTGGATGAGCATATAAGCGATGTTTCCATTTGATACACAGTTCTCACAAAATTCGCAAAACTTGTAACCAGGAATTTGAAAAGTCGAAAACATTGGATTCCAAATTTGTCAAACTTTTACGGTCATTCATGAAGCATTCGAAGATAGTTTGCCGTTCTCATACGTTACTCGATAGTCTCTCATCCCGTAATCATTATTGCCAGTTAGCGAAATGTTGGAGATTTACAGGATGAGCATTGAAGCGATGTTTCCATTTGATACACAGTTCTCACAAAATTCGCAAAACTTGTAACCAGGAATTTGTTAAGTCGAAAACATTGGATTCCCAAGTTGTCAGACTTTTACGGTCGTTCATGAAGCATTCGAAGATGGTTTGCCGTTCTCATACGTTACTCGATAGTCTCTCATCCGTAATCATTATTGCCAGTTGGCGAAATGTTGGAGATTTACAGGATGAGCATATAAGCGATTTTTCCATTTGATGGAAATTCTCTCAAAACTGGCAGAATTTGTATTCAGGAGTATTTGATAAGTCGAAAAACATTTTGATTCCAAGTTGTCAGACAGTTTACGGTCGTTCATGAAGCATTCGAAGATAGTTTGCCGTTCTCATACGTTACTCGATAGTCTCTCATCACGTAATCATTATTGTCGGCTGGCGAAATGTTGGAGATTTACAGGATGAGCATTGAAGCGATGTTTCCATTTGATACACAGTTCTCACAAAATTCGCAAAACTTGTAACCAGGAATTTGATAAGTCGAAAACATTGGATTCCCAAGTTGTCAGACTTTTACGGTCGTTCATGAAGCATTCGAAGATGGTTTGCCGTTCTCATACGTTACTCGATAGTCTCTCATCCCGTAATCATTATTGCAGTTGGCGAAATGTTGGAGATTTACAGGATGAGCATTGAAGCGATGTTTCCATTTGATACACATTCTCACAAAATTGGCAAAACTTGTAATCAGGAGTATTTGATAAGTCGAAAACATTTGATTCCAAAGTTGTCAGACAGTTTTACGGTCGTTCATGAAGCATTCGAAGATAGTTTGCCGTTCTCATACGTTACTCGATAGTCTCTCATCCCGTAATCATTATTGCCAGTTGGCGAAATGTTGGAGATTTACAGGATGAGCATACAAGCGATTTTTCCATTTGATGGAAATTCTCTCAAAATTGACAGAAACTTGTATTCAGGAGTATTTGATAAGTCGAAAACATTTGATTCCAAAGTTGTCAGACAGTTTACGGTCGTTCATGAAGCATTCGAAGATGGTTTGCCGTTCTCATACGTTACTCGATAGTCTCTCATCCCGTAATCATTATTGCCAGTTGGCGAAATGTTGGAGATTTACAGGATGAGCATACAAGCGATTTTTCCATTTGATGGAAATTCTCTCAAAATTCGACAGAACTTGTATTCAGGAGTATTTGATAAGTCGAAAACATTTGATTCCAAAGTTGTCAGACAGTTTTACGGTCGTTCATGAAGCATTCGAAGATGGTTTGCCGTTCTCATACGTTACTCGATAGTCTCTCATCCCGTAATCATTATTGCCAGTTGGCGAAATGTTGGAGATTTACAGGATGAGCATATAAGCGATTTTTCCATTTGATGGAAATTCTCTCAAAATTAGACAAGAACTTGTATTCAGGAGTATTTGATAAGTCGAAAACATTTTATTCCAAAGTTGTCAGACAGTTTACGGTCGTTCATGAAGCATTCGAAGATGGTTTGCCGTTCTCATACGTTACTCGATAGTCTCTCATCCAGTAATCATTATTGTCAGTTGGCGAAATGTTGGAGATTTACAGGATGAGCATATAAGCGATGTTTCCATTTGATACACATTCTCACAAAATTCGCAAAACTTGTAATCAGGAGTATTTGATAAGTCGAAAACATTGGATTCCAAAGTTGTCAGACTTTTACGGTCGTTCATGAAGCATTCGAAGATAGTTTGCCGTTCTCATACGTTACTCGATAGTCTCTCATCCGTAATCATTATTGCCGTGCTGGCGAAATGTTGGAGATTTACAGGATGAGCATGAAGCGATGTTCCATTTGATACACACTTCTCACAAAATTCGCAAAACTTGTAACAGGAATTTGATAAGTCGAAAACATTGGATTCCAAAGTTGTCAGACTTTTACGGTCGTTCATGAAGCATTCGAAGATAGTTTGCCGTTCTCATACGTTACTCGATAGTCTCTCATTCCGTAATCATTATTGCCAGTTGGCGAAATGTTGGAGATTTACAGGATGAGCATAAAGCGATTTTTCCATTTGATGGAAATTCTCACAAAATTAGCAGAACTTGTAATCAGGAGTATTTGATAAGTCGAAAACATTTGATTCCAAAGTTGTCAGACAGTTTACGGTCGTTCATGAAGCATTCGAAGATAGTTTGCCGTTCTCATACGTTACTCGATAGTCTCTCATCCCGTAATCATTATTGCCAGTTGGCGAAATGTTGGAGATTTACAGGATGAGCATTGAAGCGATGTTTCCATTTGATACACAATTCTCACAAAATTCGCAAAAACTTGTAACCAGGAATTTGATAAGTCGAAACATTGGATTCCAAAGTTGTCAGACTTTTACGGTCGTTCATGAAGCATTCGAAGATAGTTGCCGTTCTCATACGTTACTCGATAGTCTCTCATCCAGTAATCATTATTGTCAGCTGGCGAAATGTTGGAGGTTTACAGGATGAGCATTGAAGCGATGTTTCCATTTGATACACACTTCTCACAAAATTGCCAAAACTTGTAACAGGAATTTGATAAGTCGAAAACATTGGATTCCAAAGTTGTCAGACAGTTTACGGTCGTTCATGAAGCATTCGAAGATAGTTTGCCGTTCTCATACGTTACTCGATAGTCTCTCATCCGTAATCATTATTGCCAGCTGGCGAAATGTTGGAGATTTACAGGATGAGCATTGAAGCGATGTTTCCATTTGATGACAATTCTCACAAAATTAACAAAACTTGTATCAGGAGTATTTGATAAGTCGAAAACATTGTATTCCAAAGTTGTCAGACAGTTTACGGTCGTTCATGAAGCATTCGAAGATAGGTTTGCCGTTCTCATACGTTACTCGATAGTCTCTCATCCGTAATCATTATTGCCAGTTGGCGAAATGTTGGAGATTTACAGGATGAGCATGAAGCGATGTTTCCATTTGATACACACTTCTCACAAAATTCGCAAAACTTGTAACAGGGATTTGATAAGTCGAAAACATTGGATTCCAAAGTTGTCAGACTTTTACGGTCGTTCATGAAGCATTCGAAGATAGTTTGCCGTTCTCATACGTTACTCGATAGTCTCTCATC